CTCAATATCATTAACCTGAGGCACAGTGATTAAAATAGATGATCCTTCAACTTTGGCTATGTAGTTTTACAATAACTTCCCATGTTTCCTGTTCCTCCGTCAGGATATAGTATAATGTACCAGAGCTGCAAGCTACAGCAATAGTCCACCATGAGTTTAATACAGCAGAGCATGGGATACATATTATGGGATACATATTTGCACACTGGTATAGACTAATACATTCAGGGGATAATATGTATTCATAAGCGGTCTGGAGCCCAGGGGCGTATTTACCGCAAGGCAAAGTAGGCGTTTGCCTAGGGCGGCACCTTCCTGGGGGGCGGCCGTAGTCAAATGCCTATGTTGTGAAGAGGAGGGGAGAGCTGGAGCCCGTCTGTGTGTAGGAGTGGAGGGCGGCTTGCCTGCTTGTGAAGAGGGTAAGCCCTGTCCCAAAACACAATCGCTGTGTGCCAAGGTTATATCACACAATGTGTACCCCGGAATGTGTGATTTCATAAGACATATTGAGGGTCAGCAAGCAGATGTGCGGCTAGAAATATATAGGCTGGATGACTTGTTTTTCAAGATTCAGTGTGTGGGGCTCATCAAAATACAGGCTCCACCACCTAATATGGGCCCATTAACACTAAAGCTGGCCATACACCTATAGATTGTCTGCAGACTTTCTATGGCCAGATGGAAAAAGTGCAACAGATTCCCCCATCTATGCTAAACTGTGTGGATGGAGGAATCTCCCGCTGGGCCAAGCTTCAGTATCTTGCTAATCGACCCCGCTGGCTCTCAAAACACCTAACAATGCCAGCATCCAATCAGATTGCCCAGGTATTTGACAGTCAGCGGGGCCAATTAGCAATATACTGAAGCTTGACCCAGTGGGAGATTCCTCCATCCACACAGTTCAGCATAGATGGAGGAATCTGTTGCACTTTTCCATTTGACCATAGAAAATCTGCAGATAATCTATATGTGTATAGTCAGCTTTACAAATGAGGCCAGATCACTGAGTCTTATCAATTCCTCAGTAAGACTCATGTGATCAGCAGTGTGCTTTACAATACAATGACAGCTGTCACTGTTCGCAGCGGTTCGCAGGCCAGTCACAGGTAATTGCATATGCACAGTCTGTGTGCAGGTGCGATTGTCCGCATGTACTCCCAGCACGTGCAATTACATGCAAACAGCTTGTGTGGCTGCGGGTGATGACAGTGGGGAAGCTAGACATTCTGTCACCCAGTACAAAGGCTCAGAGTTGCTCCACCCCAAGGTAGAAGATCTCCATCCACACAACCAGTTGGCAGCCAGGGCACATACTGGGAGGTCATGGTACTAGAAACAGAGAACAGGTAATTAGCTTTGGCATCTTACAGTAGATTCATGCTGCAAAAATGTCACAGGTCCGGAAGAATAACATTTAAAATGAAGACTGGGGAATCAGAGGGTCCCGATATATCATACAAATAGAATCATTTTGCAGTAGTGTCCTGTCTAATTACTCTGTCTGACAGGTAGATGATTTAAAGCTGAACTCTAAATACAATAGCCATGTGCGTCCTTACTTGAATCTTGGGGAGCTTTGAACAGGGCCGGTGCTAGGCTTTTTGCCTAGACAGGCAAAGTTGCATTTTTGCGCCCCCCCCCCTCCCCGAACCCCTGTAGCGCTGGGCCTGCTCCCTATCAGCATGTTTTTTTTCTTCACTTACCTTTGGTGCGGGATAGCAAGTACTTGTCAAAATGCCCTGTTTTTTCCACCCTCACCCTGCAGCGCCCTCAGGCGGCCCCTTGCCTTGCGGTAGCGCCGGGCCTGGCTTTGAGTATTTCTTCCAGATCTGTGCCGTAATCCAGCAAGAAATGTTGCCTATGTACAGGAGCTTCCTGTAACAAAAAGCAGTCACTGCTGCTCTCTCTCCTTGAGCAGGCTGACTTGTCTTGTATCACTCCCTCCTGTAGTTTGGCGAGGCTGTTGACCCTTCCCACACATTGATGATGTCACTGCTAATTTTACAAGGGAATATCTGGGTTTACAAAAGGCATCTGGTGCACGCAAAGTGGATTTATATTCTTTGTGGCTATTGAGGAATATACAGTATATAATAATATAAGTGAACGTTTTCGTTCCTGGAGTTCAGGTTTAAGTTGGAGCGTCCTCCCTTAACTTAAGCCCAACTCCACTAAAAAAAAATCAAATGTGAGCAGATATCCGATCAGCAGATATTCTAAGCAGAGGGACACCCAGAAGTACGTACAGCCACAAGTCTTCCACCTCTTTTTTGGACAAACTTCTCCAACTGTTTCTGCTTCATTAATGGCGACACAGTAAAAGTCAGACGTGCCAAGTTTACAATTAGTCTGGTGCTTTGGTTCCCCTGCAGCCTTTGTGCAGACTTTCTAGTCACCCCATTTCGTCTCCAGATTTTGAGCTGCTTCCACCACGATTGCCCTTTCACAATTCCCTTTTTATCCAAGATGTAAAAACAGTCCATGCAGCTCTGGATCTGTCTGCTAACAAGCCGTGAAAAGGGATTTGCAAAAACAATAGCCTGTTGTCCTCTGTGTGAGCCTAATGCGACTTGTATGAAGCGGATAATGGATGCATTAGCTAGTGATGTAGGTTTTCTTGTGCGCACATCCCACAGGACAAGAAGCATCCCCCCGTCTCGTGGGACGCAAGATCAGACCGGGCTGTGACTAGGCCCCTACAATGTACTGAAGCTGAACTTATTACTTTACAAATCAAGTCCTTGTGAGCTAAAAATAGGCAATGTAGGTCATGCCCTTCACTGCTTATTCCAGTGTCCAAAGAAACACAATAATTCCATTTGCTATTATAATAGGCGATTGGTGGACTTGGCCAAGGTGCCGAGTGATTACGCCCCTGGTTTCATATACAGGCAATGTTTTTGCTTACAGCCCCATTGAGGCCGTATTATATCCTGTATAATTATCAATGTATTAACTATGGTAGGTCTAAAACCAACATTTTTTCTTTCTTTTTTTGGGATGGATTAGGGAAAGGTTAGAGCCAGGGTAGGCAAACTTGGTGCTCCAGCTGTGGTAAAACTACAAATCTCATTATGCCTCTGCCCCTGGGAGTCATGCCTGAAGCTGTAAGGCAGTGCCTTATGGGATTTCACAACAGCTGGAGTGCCGAGGTTGCCTAACCCTGGGTTAGAGCCTGTCAGGATTTTTTAACCACTTGCTGACCGGGGGTATTAAACCCCCTCCCTGCCCAGGCCATTTTTCAGTATTCAGCGCTGCTGCCATCCGCCTGTTATTTTACAATGGGCTGACGGCAAGGGGTTAAGGGTAAGTTTACCTATTATTAAAAAAATTAAATGGTAAACTGGCTCCCAACACCTCCTGAATACCATGTCCCACTGCCCATGCCAGCCGCTGGAGGGGTCTGAACACTTGAAAACATCACTAGCCCCGTAGGCTGCGTTGCATCACAATGCTCCCTAAGGTTAGCCGTCATTGGTCAGCATGGTCACATGACTAAATAATGGAGAATCTCTTCTGAGCAATATTTCTTCTGGAGCACTGAAGCAAAAGACAGAAGACATTCCTATTGGTCATCATTACCATGGTCGCTGACCAATGACCTCTAGCCTTCCCTGTCCCCATTGGATAAGCTCCCCTTACCTCTTGTTCTGGTGACAAACTGGAAAAATTTGGATTCCTCATAATTTTCTATCCCAGTGACAATGTCAAAAGGACAAAGAGAGAGGGTGAACCTCTGTATGAAGTAACTGTGCCTTGAGTATCATTTTCTCACTATATAAGGCTTTTAAAGTGAACCTGTGCTCCAAAGTCTCGCTTAAGGCTCCATTCACACGTGGCAATCTGGCATTCCTTCGGCAAGAACCTACTAATTCCTGCAGCAGATGCGGCCGCTGTACCCATTGAAGTAAATGACGGGGTGACCGCGGCCACACCTGTAAGCAGCAGTCTGCATGTAATCATACATGGTTTGGAATAGATCATTGCCCCTGGACACATCTATTGTGCATCCAGCAACAATCATCTATCCCAAACCGCATGTAATTGTATCATGCATCATTACATGCGGATTGCCCCTTACAGATGCGGTTGCTGTCACCCTGTCATTTACTCCAATGAGTACATCGGCCGCATCGAAATGGGAAATGCTGCCGGCATGCCCACTATTACCTTCATAAGCTAGAAAAGCTTACTTTCTGCCCGTCTTGGATTTAGTTTCTGCAGCCTACCATCCAACTAGCATGCCACTGAGGTGATCTCTTTAAAAGGTGGAAGGACCTTTTCCTTTTTGTTGCATTGCGTTACAACTAGTTTGTCACAATATGATTTACAATGCTCATCGAATTGTAATATGGATGTCAGATGATGTTGCAATGCATACAATTGCATTGCTAGAAGACATTCTGTACCTTTCCTTTATTTTGATTATTCTACTACGTTTGAGATTTAGCCATTGCTTGTTGTATTTCCATTTATTACGTGAAATAAAAAAAGAAAAATATTGAAAAGAAAAAAGGTGGAAGGACAGTTATTGCAGCTGGACAAATCCCAGGAGCCAGGTAGCCAATGCTCATTAAAAATTAAAGCTGGCACACAGCTTCTGAGGCTCTCTCTAGTTGTTGTCAATGGAGAAAATCCTGCTGGCTCCTGGATTGGACAGACTGGATCCTGAATTCCATATTAATTTGTCCACTCCTTCCATCATTTCAGGGATAGTTAGTTCCTATACTAACAAAGTGAAGCTAAATCGGAGGAGCAGAAGAGTCTCACTTCTCCTGATACATTCATGTAGCATAATGTAAACTTCCTAACAGGGACAGCCAGAGTTTATTAAATGATGTGGCCAGACTCGTAAACTCCTGAGATCTTTCCACCAGAAACCCAGAGAGATTTCAAAGAATCCTCCTAAAACGATCAGCTATGAAAAAGGAAACTCTGTTTCCAGTGTAAATAAAATAAAGCTGTACATTTCCTGTTGTTAGGTGTAAATGAAAGCTTACCTTGACATATTCCATGGTGGAATCCGGTGAAGCATGAGCCCTAAAATGGAGCAGAAACAAAAACGGAGTCAGTAAACCAGAGCTGGACAGCGGCCAGAGAAGAGGAACCTGTTGTACTCTGTGTAATCAGTGACAACCTCAGTGCTATTATAAAGTAGATTTTACAATTTCTGCACCAATGTGTTTACGACTTTTGGTTCCCTTATTCTTTTCAAGGCTGAGCTGCCCCAGTTACTGTTACTTTTTATACACTGCTGTCACACGAGGGACTCTGTTAACACAGCGCCATTGTAATAGCTGATGATACAGTGTTTAATTGTGCTACAAAGTCCAGTTTAAACTGTCTGCAGCGGTTTTCCATAAACATTACACAGCAGCACAGAGAAACCACTTCAGGTGAATGGATATTATGAAAACAAAGCTTTATAAAAGGAATAGGAACATGGTAGAAAGGTTTTATCTAGGGTCTTTGTTCACAATACGACTGCCAACTTCACATTCAGCCATTTTGCTGTTGTTGGATATGATGGGTAAAGGTAACATAAAATGTGCCAACTGTTATCTTTACCTTTTAAAAATCTACCAAATTTCCAACTGGATTGATTCTGTTAAAGTGGCTCTGTAGCATAAAATAAATACAGTAAACTCCATTACCCGGCATTCAAGCACCCAGAATTTGTTTTTGGAGGACATATATGTTGCTTGAGAGTTAATAGTAACCTATTATTAGGCAACCAGAAACTACAGTTATCCAGCATCTACCAATACCCATGGGTACCGGATAACTGGGAGTTTACTGTAAATAGATACAGTGGTACCTTGGTTCACAAACACTTCTGTTCACACACAATTCGGTTCGCGAACAGCAAGTCTGGTAAAATTTTGCTTCTGTTCGCGAACTCCGCATCAGGTGACGAACACAACCGCAGCCTTCTTCCCTGCTCTGAAACATTCTATTAGAGCTCATGCACACCTGCGTCCAGGGATTTACATCCATACGCATAAACGGCTGTACATAAGTACTGGCACATACCCACGCACAGCTACTAAATTATATGGAAGGCTGTATGCAGCACCCACGGCTCCCTGGCGGGGGAAAATACACTGGTACTTATATGGGTTTGTGTGCATTAGCCTTAGTTGGTGAGCCAGCTGATCATAGTGGTGGCTAATAGGACTGTGGCGATGTGGGAAGGAACAGGCAACCCAGGAATGTTGGAGCTTTGTCCATTCGGAACAGTGTTACTAAAATTCACACATGTACCACTGCAATAGCCTGTAATATGTACCTGTAAATCTGGGCACCACCTGGTAATACCACAATGCTGCTCACCCAACATTCTACCCACCCCCAGCAGCCAAGATGTTATCAGGTGGCTCTAGGCATTGGGAGATTTTTAAATAGATGATTAAAGGATATCTGTAATGAGACAAATAATAGCCTGCAACTGCCAAATAATCTCTCTGAAAATGCTAGCTGCTTGTCTGTCATGCCGATCCACAAACTTCAATGTTTTGATTTATGAACCTGGAACACGTATGCAGATTAGGAGTAATGGCATATCTCTGACATTTGGTTACCTTTAAATGTATACACCAAACCTGAAAGTTAATGCATATAGTGAGCACAGACTACCCATTCAGTACTTCAATTCTTCATTCAAGCGTTGCTGAAGTGCACAAAGCCATCCAATCCTTTTGTTAGTAATGAGGTGCTCTGAGGACCAATGCTTATGATGCAGGAAACGTATTCTTAAACCCACTTACCACAGGCTCTTTGCCGTCTCTCACATACAGAGAGGCCGGTATAAAAGAACAGTCAGTACAAAGATGTTTCTCACAGTCAGCAGATTCAACCCTTCTTTTGGCATTTAAAGGGATTGGTGAACATAGATTGAACTTTCTGACTTCACCACACCTGCAGCATTTTCTAGCTAGAGATAATAACTAATTTCACTTGTTGCCTGGAATTACTCTTTTGAGAATTTCCAGTGACTTTCACTATGTCTTAAACTCCAACTGCATGTGAGTTCCGAAGCACCTGGCAGGCATGAAAGTGCAGTTCACAGCCATTTTAAGGTGCTAAGGTCGGATGTGAAGGAATGATCTGATCACCCTCAGGTAGCTGTATCTGCTGGTGCATCCCTAAACATGTAAGTTTAGCTTTACCCAGCATTGGCCTATGAGGATCACAGTGGTGAAGCACAAAAATACATCTCCCAGGGCTGGCTCATCAGTGGAAGACAATTAAGACAATCATTTCTAACTGGTCCAACCACTGTGTAGCCTGATAGGCGACAATGGACATTGTCTGCAGGACTCATAGATATGTTCATAAAATGACAAAAACAGCCTGTGGCATCATCCCACACCTGCTGGTATCTGTAAGAAAGACACAGCACATGCAAGGAAGAATTTTTATTGATCTCCAGGCAAGAACCAAATTAGCCCTCATACCTCGCCCTCCTTTGCTAGATCATGTCTCTGCATCAGCTATTTCCTTTACCTAATTTCTGTAGCAAGAAACGGCTTTTATTACTCTTTGCGACATCATCACCAGGCTTGAAAATTTTTTGGAGGGGCAACTTCTGCAAGGAGGGATCAGTAAGGTGTCCTAGGTCAATTCCTATTGACATAGGCACAGCTTCCAGAACTACATTACTGCCTCTGGGCAGTAAATAAGTGGGGAAAAAATCAATGTATGCATGCAACTCAGACAGGGCTGGCAACGCTGGTTGGTATTTCCGTACAACAGAGGCAGCATTGTCGGCTCACTACAGAAATTTAGAAGCTCACTGTATTTCCGGTATGATTTCCAGGTAATTGTCAGGTACTTGCAATCTTTTAAAGGGATACAGCATAGGGAAATATGCATGCATTGCAGAGATGCTCTGAATATGTATTTTTAAAATTTTGCCCACACATACTTTGGAGTCTATTTATACATGCTTTCATCCAAGATTCACACATTTTTATAATTGACTTCAATGGAAAAATGTGGGGTGAATCTTGTGTAAAAACATTTATAAATAGGCCACTTTAAAATTACACTAAATTCAGGAGTTAAATCTTAAAAATGCATTCAAGTACCTTAACTATTAACAAAAATGTTTCTCATTTGTGTATCACTCTGTAGAACCTCAAATCATCTCTGAATTGGAGCAGACACTATGCTTCCTTCTGGAGGCTGGCTACTTTTGTTCCCCATGGTCCTTGTGTGTGTTGTTAAGTAGCCACCACTCCAGCCTCACTCATGTAAAGGACTACAATCTCAGTACAAATCAATAAAACTATACGTGAGGTTGTAGTCCATCACGGGAGTGAGCTTGGAGCGGTGACTACTTTACAACACACACAGGGACCATGGGGAACAAAAGTAGCCACCCTCCAGAAGGAAGGACAGTGTCAGCACCAATTCAGAGATGATTTGAGGATCTACAGCCGAGTGATACACAAATAAGCTACATTTGTGTTAATAGTTAGGGTACTTGAATGTGTTTTTAAGATTGAACTCTTGAGTTAAGTGTCGCTTTAAGTCTAGTGACAGACTCCAGTAAATGTGTCCATTTAACCCCTTCATGACTGAGGCCCTTTTTTCCATTTTTGCACCCATGTTATATTCCACATTTTAGGCCTGAAAATGACGTAAAACCCCCCAACATTATATATTTTCTGAATGCCAAGACCCTATAGAATAAAATGGTGGTAGTTGAAAATTTTTATGTTGCGCAATATTAGCGCAACTCCTTATTAAACCCCAAAATTTAGTGACAAATTTAATTAAATGCCCCAAAACACAACAAATTACCCATTTTTTTAATGAAATATAAAAGATGAGGTATATATGAGAAATATAAAAGATGAGTAAAACGATACCCAACATGCCCAGTTTACAGATTGCGTGCGACCGTGAAACGGCGAAGAGTAGAGCAGGTGAGTAATGTACCTCGTTACCGAACACCAATGAATGCAGTGTTAAAAGTGATACAATTGTTTTGCTATCTCATTAGACTGAACATAGTAGTTAAACTTCAAATTCTATATTATTAATAATAAACACAGACGATGAGCAGGCAGCAAGAGTCTATACAAGTCTGCATATACCCTTAAAGTGACATTAAACCCTCAGATTTTTTAAAATAAAACAAATAGTGTAATGTGTGCCTTACTGTAATCCATGGTAGTTTCCCTTCTCTTAGCTGCTCTTCCTTTTAAATATGTATCTGTTCTCATGCTGGGGGAGAACTTATCTTTTCAGCTCAGGGCCTCTTCCTGTAGTGCTGGCTCAGGTTACAGCCTACACACAGACATCGTGTGAGACAAGGCAGTCTGCTGAAAAGGGAAGTTCTCTCCAAGCATGAGAACAGATACATATTTAAAAGGAAGAGGAGCAAAGAGAAGGGAAACAACCATGGATTACAGTAAGGCACACATTACAGTATTGTTTTATGTTAAAAAATCTGAGGGTTTAATGTCACTTTAAGCACAACCAACTCTTCCAGCATCTACCAGAAGTGCCACACAACTAGTCCAGGCCTGAAATTAACCGCAGATATGATATACACACTGCGTGCAAGTTATTACTACCACTTAGCATTCACATAGGGATACTTAACTGTGGATTAACTACACATTCCAAAAGCGAACAATTACAATAGTCGCAACAGAGTGATTAATAACGAAGCAATTCAGAATGTGTTCCAGGCATTTTAACTTTACAATAGGATTTCTACATTTGCGTTGGCAGTAAAACAATTAATACACAAATTCTCTCTGGATAGAATAATAGTAAAATCTAGGGCAAATACTTCATATCAGCTGTAGTGGAATGTTATAGATACCAATTTATTGTGCATTCATCGGCTTCCATACCCCTCCTACTCAACCTGCCGCCTGCCAATTAGTCAAGTTCATTGACCCCCTGAATTCTAGATTGTAAAGCTAAACATGGATGTGAAAAATAACATGGAGTGATCAGTGCTTACGTTCAGATTCTGACCTAACCAGGAGGCCTCCTCTAAAGACATTTTGTTGGTTCTT